GCGGGGCTCGAACTCACGGACCGCGAGATCGTGACCTGGCTGAAGTCGGACGCTTAACCGACTGCGCCACCCAGGCGCCCCCAAATCTTTTTTGAATTTACAAAACTACATCTAAGGCTATATTACTATAAAGAAGCCACTTTATAGATTGAAAAGGGATTCTATTTAAATTAGATATAACTGTAGCATGTGTAACATCAAAAGAAGCAATCTGAATATATTAAATTGTAGACCCATCTTTGAACATATGATTTAGTTCATTTTGTCTTTATGTCACATTCACTATTTAAAACTAATTGATAGTCAATATTTAAACACAGTATGCATTTTATTTTTTTTTAAGTTTTTATTCATTTATTGGAGAGAGAGAGAGTGAGAGAGAGAAAGAAACCAAGCAGAGGAGGAGCAGAGAGAGAGGGGGAGAAGGAGGATCCAAAGCGGGCTCTGCCCTAGCAGCAGAGAGCCTGATGTGGGGTTCAAACTCATGAACTCCTGAGTTCATGACCTGAGCTACCCAGGTGCTAAACACAGTGTGAATTTAAATAAAAGGCTCAAAAGTTAGGGATAAGAAAAAGTTCAGAACAGTAGCTGTGATGTCTACTTGTATTTGCCTCTGTTCACCTTATAGATTTTCCCTTATCACCATTAACCACTCAGGTAATTGAGTCCCATGTTATGAAGTCAGAATCCAGGGTTTTAAAAGGAGGCTAGTGTAAATTACCTTTTTTTTTTTTTTTAATTTGGAGACAAATGTATATTCAAGGAAAGGGCAAGAGAATGAAGAAGCATCCTATGGATGAGTGATTCTCTCTCACCTTGTAATTTTGGAATCAGCATTCGATTCTTCCCTGATACTCCCTTTGAATATTTAGTGTCTGTAACATTGTACGATTATTTCATTCTGAGTTGGGGGAAGAAATAGACATGAAATTTTTACTGGAACTTATTTTCAGGCTTATGTACACAAGAGTGTAATGGAAGAACTGAAGAGAATCATTGACGACAGTGAAATTACAAAAGAAGATGATGCTTTGTGGCCTCCCCCTGACAGAGTTGGCCGACAGGTTGGTGTTTAGTGGTTCTTTAAATGCATACGTCTTAAAAGTTGGTAATATAATTCATTGTTACGTTTCTCCTTATTTATTTAGAATAGACCATTGGTTCTTTGGTTTTCCATTTAGTAGGCACCCAGTAAATCCTGTTTAATTTTGTTTCACTTAGGCTCATTTCCTGTGCTACCTCTGAGTAGTAAAGGAGTCAATGTGTAGCTCAAGATTTAGACCTCTTTCTGACCAGTCCTCTCTCTAGCCTCCCCAGTTAAAGCTATGATGTTTTCACGCTATTATGAATAATTTCTATTGTGTATTACTTCTATTAGGAATAAGTACAGTGTTTGTTAAATTCAAGACAGGATTCTTATTGACTGTAAAATTTACTTTCTTCATTTTTATAACTTTGAGAACCCTTGTTTGCATCCTTATGCCCAGGAGAGGGATTTGATTGGTGTCTTTGTTCGAACTGACCATTGCTTTTGCCTCATATTCCCTTTAAATATTTTTTTTTTCAACGTTTATTTATTTTTGGGACAGAGAGAGACAGAGCATGAACGGGGGAGGGGTAGAGAGAGAGGGAGACACAGAATCGGAAACAGGCTCCAGGCTCTGAGCCATCAGCCCAGAGCCTGACGCGGGGCTCGAACTCACGGACCGTGAGATCGTGACCTGGCTGAAGTCGGACGCTTAACCGACTGGCCACCCAGGCGCCCCCTCATATTCCCTTTAGAGTAATTAATGTTTCTCAGAGGGCTTGTGAAGAACTTTGAAGGTTTCATTTCACTCTGTAAAAAGATAGTTTGATTGGGTCTTTTCAACTCTTGAAGACATGAGATACAATTCCTGGAGGAAGAAACACTTAATTTCACTTTTTTATGTTCCTAAGAATTATACTTTATGTCACCTTCTTTGACTTTATATTACTTTCTTCTAGAAGAAAATGTGGAGAAATCGAATAGATGCTGACATTCTATAGCAGTCACTTAGCTCTTCTGTTTAAAGAAACATTATTTAGGAAAGCAAAGGTAATAGTTAACAGTATTTATTTTATGCATTGAAACACTTTTAAAAAATAAATTTAAATCTCAGTTTGCTTTATGCAATGGGTACATTTGTACTAAAAAACAGACAACGGCAGTAAACCTTTTATCTCTTTTAGACTCTGGGAGAACCCAGCATTTTATGTACCCACTCGATGATGTGTTTATGTTTTGGTTAGTGGGGAGGGTTAAGCACGTTCCAGAGATCATCCATTGGATCTTTGAGTCAAAGATTTTATGATTGTTTGAGAGCCTTAGGTAATTCTCCATATTGTGTGTGCCATAAACTGTGTGTAATTAGGTCTTTTGATCAGACATATAGCTGAGATTGTCTTTAATGGCATTTGTTATTTAACCTGATAAATCACTACAGACATAGCCTCTTAATCATTGGTTTTAGATTTGCAGATAAAATATAGAGAAAAACTTATCCAGTAATTATGGCACACTGAGAATGTCTACAGTATGTTGTATTTGTTTTAGTAGTGCTTAATTTTAAATGTTTTGTGAAGTCAAACAAGTGTGAGTCTTTCAGTGTTAACAGTCCAGGATTCAAATATGAGTACTATCACTTATTAGTGGTTGTAAATGTTGATGTTTTTCCCTATGCTTTATGAATCTTGTGTTTTGCATTTGTCAAATACCCTGATAAGGGTATTTTAGGGATTATAGAGTATGTTTTAAAGTCCCTAGCAGCAGGGCCTCATACACAGTAGATCCCAAAGTGGTGCTGTTAATACTCTGCATTTCTGGTAGAATGGTTAAGTGTGCTTATATTTATTTATTAAAAATAGGTTTTTACCCATATTATTATTTTTACAACATTGTGCTTCAAAGTTATTTCTTTAGTTTTTACGGACATAAGAAATGTTCATGTGTCATTCATATTTATAGTGTTTTCTTTATGAGATCTCTGGAAAGCAGTTCTTGGTTGATCCTAATATTGGGGACTCCTGAGCATTCGATGAGGTTTTTATTTTACAGACATAGTTTATGTCTAACAGGTCAAGTTCCTTTTCCTTTTTCTTTTCTTTTTTTTTTTTTTTTCTCTTCTATGACTGCTAGAAAACTCGCAGCTACAATTGGGACCTCTAGGTAACAAGAATACAGACGCTTCTGAGATGGAGTTTTATATTAACTACATGAATCTATTTTGTTTTTTTCAGGAACTTGAAATTGTAATTGGAGATGAACACATTTCTTTTACCACATCAAAAATAGGTTCTCTTATTGATGTAAATCAGTCAAAGTGAGTATGTTAAAGTATTTTGACTAAATTGACGTAATTAATTAGAGAGGCTCATTTTAGAACAGTAGCCAGTTTTCTAAGATTATTTTGGTGGCATCCTATCAGTTTATTATGCAGATGTAATTCTAACTTTTATGTCATTAAAGGCTTGCTATCAAAGTGGTTAGCAGCGTATTTTTGTGGTTATCAAAAGAATGTTAATCTGACAACTGTGTACAATAATGACCACGTTGTAATAGCTATTTTTGGTAAAAATCTGGGTATCTTTTTACCGAGTTTAAAAAAATCCTTATTGGTTTATATCATCCATTATCACATCATCCTCATCTTTGAATTTAATATTTGAAAGAATTTGAAAAAAGTCATTATAACTTAAGGATGGTTTTAGCTTCCTCTGTCTTTCCAACTTTGTTTCCTCTGGGCCTTTGTAGGACATACTGTTGTTTTTGTTTGAAAAATTTCTCTACTTGGAGTTACTTTTCTCTCTTTACCCCTCAAAATGTTTTCTTAGTATTTTGTCCTATCACCCTAAATTGTAATAACTTATTTATTTGCTTTTCTGGCTTGAATATAAACTCCATGAGAACCTTGCTCTTTCTCCAAAGTTAACACAGTGCCTGGCACAGGATAGGTGCTTGGTAAATATATGTTAGAGGAAAGGAGAAAGGAATGAATGTATAGTAACTATTAGATACAATAAAGACCGACCAGATACTTTTAAACTATCACATTTATTTCCCCACAGTGGTGAGGATGTGGCTGGCGTTCATATCCTAAGTGGGATTTTAAATTGGTACAGTGTTTTTTGGAAAGCAGTTTGATAATTGTGCATCAAAAGGTGCTAGCATTTTAAATTCATCTTTGACTTAGTAATTCCATTTCTGAGCATCTATTTTAGGGAAATACTGTCAAATAATGAAAATGCTTTATTAGTCATAAAAATGGTCATTGGAGTCTTATAATTGGGGAAAAATCCAACTGTTTAACAAAAAGAGAATTGTTAATTAGAAATCATTTGCGAATTATTTTTCATGTAATGGAAAACAACGTTAAAAAGGGTACAAGGAACAGGGGTCCCTGGGTGGCTTATTCGGTTAAGCATCTGACTTTGGCTCAGGTCATGATCTCCCGGCTCATGAATTGAGGCCCCAAGTCGGGCCCTGTGCTGACAGCTCAGAGCCTGGAGCCTGCTTCAGATTCTGTGTCTCCCTCTCTCTGCCACTCCCTCACTTGCATTCTGCTTCTCTCTCTCTCTCTTTCTCAAAAATAAACATTAAAAAAAATTTTTTAATCAAAAAGGGCCAGGGAATGCTTTTAGTTATGAAAATAGAGAAATGCCAAAATATTCATAGTTTTTCTGTAAGGAGTGACATTTTATAGTATTATGAGTATTATTTTTTCTATCTTTATAATTATATCTGCTTTATACATTTTTGCTATGTATAGTTCTTACTTTGATAAGAAAATAAATACTTGAGTATGAAATGAATACTGGTGAATAAAATTTATATTTTTTGTAGAAAAGCTAGAGAAAGGAAATGAAAATTATTCAGTATGTTCATTTTAGTTGCAGCAAATCCTTCCTTTCTCCTGGATTCCTTTGTTTCGTTTTGTTTTTTAGTTTGTTTTAGGAATTAACTTACAAAATTATATGTTTCATTTTAGGAACAAAAAAGTAACTTTTACCTTTTTAAATTTTAGGGATCCTGAAGGCCTTCGAGTATTTTACTACTTGGTACAGGACCTGAAATGTTTAGTTTTTAGTCTTATTGGATTACATTTCAAGATTAAACCAATCTAAGTTGTATGTTTTTTTAAAAGCTGTTTTTATATTTAATTAAGGGATGGGTTTGTCACTTACAATATTGGGATTTTTATAAATGTGAAACTCTTGTTTTGTATGCCCACTGAAAATAAGAAAATACATAAACAGGCTTAATGGTTCTTCTCACTTGGGTCCAAGTGGTTTAGATAGTCCTCACACATATTAAATTCTGTAAACGAAAGCAACTTTTTGTTGAGATTTTGCTCCAATAAAACATATCAAAGCCTGCATGGAGAGTGGTTTTTTTTTTGTTTGTTTGTTTTGTTTTTGTTCTTTTTTCCAGAAGGGTACGTCTTTTTATTCACTTTAAGATCATAAAGAATTGTTATGGTAGGACATCCTATGGCAGAAGTTCTTTCATGCAGCCAGAGTTTCATCCATTAAAGGCAATTACGTGTTACCTTTATTACTTCCATACCTAATGGGACTTAATTTTTTGGTGCCTATAGAAGTTGTTTACAGAAGGTTCTGGATTTTTTACATTTATCACCAACCCCCCAGGAATTATTAAAATTTAAATATTTTTGGTATAATCAATAATGCCTAAAGGGTTACAAGAGTAAAGTCAGCACCCCAAGTTAAACACATCTTTTATTCTGCCCTTATTCCTTATTTTCACAGTAAATTTTGTAAATAAGATATTTCACAATATATTTGTGTTTCTGTAGGAACTAAATGAGTTCTCAGCATGACAAATTATTAAAAATTTAGGCTTTCACACGCACATGTGTGTGTGTATTTTAATTTCTAATGACCATAGTTTCCACTCGTGATTTTCAGTTCCCTTCAGCGTCTTTCTGATAGACTTGGTCTTTCATTATTTCTCTTAGTAAGCATGCCCCTGGTATTCTTTCTCCATCTGAACCCCCACTTTTTAAAGGGGGCAGTCCTTGTAGTGACGATTCACTTGCCCGGGACAGTGAGGATGACCTTATTGGGAAGAATGTGTGCAGTACTCCTGAGCTACATTATCTAGAGAGGTTCTGGCCAGTAAACTTATTTGAGATAATGGAGATGTCTTTTATCTGTAGTTCAGCAAGGTAACCACCAGCTACTATGTGTAGCAACTAGTACCTGAGATGTGGCTAGAATAACTGAATTTATAGTCCTATTTCATTAAAAACATTTTT